GACATGTCACCGTGATGGTGGGGAGCAAGGAGAGGTGGAGGTGGGGAGAGGGGTGAGATATGCTTCCCTGTCCCCCAAGTTTGAGGCCCTGAGCCTTTGTGCAAAGAGACCAAAACAAAAAACAAAACACACACACACACACACACACACACACACACACACACGGAAGCTGGGTGAATTAAGTCCGTTTACTGAGGATGTGGCTCGATTCCACTCAGCATGGAGTAAGGCCTGACCAGGTACCCTCAGCAGAGGGCCCCCCAGGCTGCTGGGCTGGCAGGGCCGCTGGGTCACCTGGGCTTCTGGCTGAGCCAGCAGCAGGGCCACCTGCAGGGTCCCAACAAGCCCCGGGCTGCTTGGCTTGCGCTGTCTGGGACCGCACTGGGGCTGCGCCGGTCGCTGCTGCCGTCCGTATTGCTCGGGCCAGACCCCGAGAAGAGAGGGGCACAAGGGGAAAACGGTAATGTAAACACTTTGGTTTCCGTTTCAGTAAAGAGGAGGAGGAGGAGGAAAGGAGGCATACGGGGATGTAGAAGAAGCGACTGTGGGGCGATGTCCTTGGAGAGCTCCAGGGCCAGCTCCCTTGCTAGACAACGTGGCCGTTGCTTTCGTTTCCATCCCCCAGCTCGGAATCTGGAAAGTAAGAAGGCATCTCAGGCTGTGGAGCCATAGTGGACAGCGAGCTCTGTCAACCAGGGTGTGGCTGGGCTTCCCCTCCTGCCCCCACCCCAGCACCTGCGTGCGCACACACACACACACACACACACACACACACACACACACACACACACACTCGCCGCAGTGCCGGCAACAGCGCAGATAAGGGCCCGCTGTCCGGGGAATCCTCGAATGCCCCTCGGGGCTTCCAGCCAGGCCAGGGCAGAGGGGACTGTAAGCCCCTCCACAAAAGCACCTTAGTCCACATCCTCGCCTGACCTGGTGTGGCAGATGTTTGCAGGGTGAATCCCCAGAGGAGCCTTGCTGCCTCTCAGGGCGATGCCTCCACATAAACCTTTACTTGCTGGGTGGGGGAATGGGGAGAGGGTTGAGCTAGGTCTTTAAGAAATCTTTCAGAGATCAAATGGCTGGAGGTAGAGGGTCCTGCGATGGGAAGACAGGGAGCAAAGAGGCAGTGGGGTGGCAGTGGGGGCCCCGGGGAAGAGGGGGAGTATGGGGGAGTTGTCTTTATTCTTGGGGGAACTCTTGTTCTCAGAATACTTTTCCCATTGGCATCAGGAGTGCTCCCTGACTTATCTGGAAACCACTGAAGAAGGGCAGGGAGCAGGATTAATTGACATCCTGGACCCTCTCTGCCTCTGCCTGTGCTACAAGGAAGCTCCAGCCCCACGAGCTGCCCCTGTGCCCTGGCCTATCCTATTCTTTCCCCCAAAGCTAGTTGCCTAGACTTGTGTCTATGGGGGTGAGGTGGTCTGGCCCAGCCTTTGGCCTGAAGACCCTCAAGGCTGCACCTGTCCACACCTGTACAGCTGGCTACAGGAGGCATTGTTCCCCTCCCAGGCCTTGGACTTGGCTGTGGTGACAGTCATTTGTGTCAGTCATTTGTGAAGTGCCTGTTGGGGGGGGCTGGGTCACAGAGCCATATGGCAAGTGGTGGAACTTGGGCACACCCACCCAGGAACTCTCCGAAGCTGCTTTTGCCTCAGTGCTGCCGGTGGCATTTGTGTGCTCCAGATCCAGGGGAGGGGGGAACCCAGTGAGAAGCCTGGCATGGGCACCACGGAGCCTCAAAGAGGTTGGCGTCTCCTTGTGCCACCTGATGGGCCCCAATGTTTCGTCTTTTTCCTCCCTTTTTACCTGAACTGAGCTAGGGCAGCTGTGACTCAGCTCTGGCAACCCAACTTAAAAAAGTGCTGCCGACCAGGTGAGCCATGCCAGGCTTCTGGGGAGCAAAGGAGAGTGTGGCCGGAGGAGGACCGGAGGCATGTGCGTCTATCTGCCTCTGGCTGCCCCGCTTGTCTGGGTCTTGATTGTGGCCCCGGCCGGAAGCTAGGCAAGCGCGGCACCTGACCAGCGTGCCAAGATAGCCCCTCTGTGCAGGGCCCTCCTCCACCCGGGCTGTATCCCCAGTGTCTGGGATGGTGCAGGGAGAGAAGGCCTAGACCCGCGTTTCCAGGGGAGCATAGGCTGCCCCGCGTTGGGGCAGATCCTACAGCTAGTCCCAGCTTCCTGAAGAGGGGAGGGCAAGTGACGATCAGCGGGACCATCTGCCTCTGAGCGACACAGGGGGGCAGCAGCGCAGCGCCAGGCACTTGCAGGGAGGGCTCCCGCAGGTCTCGG